AGAAGAGATTCATCTAGCTTTGTATACATCGACGAGGTCCTCAAGATAGCGGAGAGGTAAGGGCACGGTTCGGCTTAAATGTGAATGTGCTGACCCATTCAGTGGTGTCACTCGCGAGCTTCCAGGGAACTACCCCTATGCGGTGAAGAAGCACTATGCTCTGCGTTTCACAAAAGATTGGGATGGGCCCGCCCGGCGATTATTTACAAGATTGGAGAATATCTTCAAAGCAGAGCTGAAGAAACTTGTACAACAGCACTCTTCTAGATTCTCTGCTGGTGGATTGCACTATAAAGTCCTGTAAGTCATAAGTTGCAGCTAAGTCCTTTCTGACCGAGCCTTATCTCTCACAGTCGAATTGTATTTGCTCAGATAAAAAATCGCAGTCAACGTACTATGGAAAAGTTGCAAGAGTGCATTGCTCTGGAGCAGGAGGAGCCGATGACCTCCAACGAACATTATTTAGAGGACTACAAGGCTAAATATATGGCACGATATAAAGCAGTATTGAGAACTCATACTCAACACGAAGGAGAGCTCCAGAAATTCATGGAAGGTAAATTTCAAGGCTCAGAGATGATGCAGACCACTCTCCAAAATCTACAAGCAATGGGTTTACCTGCGAACGAAGATGCTCTGATGCGGTTGCTCCCTCCTAACCCAATTGATAATGCACTTCAAATCATGGCTGAATGTCGTGCATACTACCAAGGTGAGACTTAGTTTATGGGTTTTACCAATATATTGACTTTTCTCAGTTGCCTTTAAGCGATTTGTAGACTATGTTCCTATGATTATTGACTACGAGTTGTTCAAAGGATTTGAAAGGACGATGAACAATGCGTTTGTCAAGGGTCTTGAACTTGGAGAATCCCAGCTCAGGGAACGCTTCGCGGCGTACCTCGAGCAGGATCCCGAGCTTGTAGAGCGGCGAGAGACCCTCAAGCGGGATTACAGTCGCTTTGAAAGTGCCTTAGAGGATCTTCAGAACATACCAGGATTTTCTCTCTCATCAGATAATTCTGATGGTGTGGAATCTGACGATCCTTTCGACTTGGAACTCGAAATAGATGACGACATTTGAGTTTTGCTGTCTTCTTTCTCATTATAGACCTTGTATACTTCCTTCAAGCTCATACACGAACCATACTTTCTAATGCTTTCGAGTCGGACCATTTACGGCTGACGTTTTTGACTCAATTGAGTGGTGCGCAAAGCTTGGTTTCCACCCCCACCTGTAAATTCAGGAAAACAAATCCCGAATATGCCAAACGACGACAGTGAGTTTCATATCGACATCAGCGTTCTTTTAGCACCGTAGTCAATGTTGTGGGCAATTATCTCGACGACCTGAGCATCGTCAACGCCTTTCGGGCTCACCAACTAGTCTTAGTCGTCTGGTACAACGACATTACTGCCAACAACTTCACAAATATACCGCTCTCGGTTATTCGATCATTCGTTTTTTTCGCCATCATAACGCCTATCATCATACCTGCTTGACCTCCTGTCATCATATCTAGATGGTGGTCCACGATAGTCGCGTTCGTAACGAGAGTCATAAGGCCGAGGGTCGTATTGGCGTTCATCTGGGAGTAGATTTAAAACAATTACAGAAGAGGGTATTTCTTTCTTACAATCAGGGCGCTTGGGAGGTCCATAGTAGCGGCCGGGTGTCGGCGTTCTGGCGCGGCCAC